CGCATTTTCACGATATTGTATCGTTTTCAGTACATAGGTTGTTGGGAGTAGCTCATTTATGTAATTGAAAGCTGTGCAATTTACTTGAGTTCTTAAAAATGATACTAACATTAAGGAAGCTTCGATTTTTGGACATCTCTGATTTGGGTGGAATGCGGTGTGATGCGTTAAGTGGTTTATCTGATGATGATTTACCACATCTTCGTTTTCTTCAGCTACATCGTACTAGGGTAAACATCAGTCAAAACCTTTTCTTTTACCACATTCACTTCTCGTGGCACCTGTGCGATTACTATATCTGCGAATTTTTTTTTGCAAGCATATACACAGAAAAAGGCAAGCTCGATCAGGTCTGTCAAAACAAACGTGATTTAGAGGAGATGGATGAAAGGCCGACTTCCGACGGCATTCGCAGTGAGCGTTATGATGATCCAGTCGCTCAAATGCACCGCTTGATTTTTTTGGCATCGCGAATTTCAGTTGTTTTCTTCAAAGTACCAAAGAAATAGATGCATTTTGATTTAGAAAGTAGTATTGAGCAAATTACCTACGTTTAATGTTGAAGGAATGACGCGAAGATCTGGGAGGACGTGAATGGTAGCTGGAATGTTGGTGCACTTGGGGAATATTTTTATTACAAAATTGAAATTTTTGTAACGGCTCGTGACTCATTCAATACGTACAAGATGGTACAATATGAAAAGATGTTGACATGCGCAATTTCATGACGCTGGTAGAAGATTCTACTTTCAGGTTAATGAAGAGTTGCTGTGGGCTTTGAATCTGAAACGTCCACATTTGATGATTACGAACCGACATGATTACTTCATCAATTGGGACATTAGAGATGAAGAACGGCATTTGAATGAGAATTTCAATGGCGATATGAATCGTGTGTTGAATGATCTCGAGGAATCTGATGGCTTTTGTTGTATGTGTAATCCAGTACTGGATTATTATGAATAGCTGTCGATTGCATATCTTTGCCAGATGCATTCGTTGTGTACAGCTACAGGTGATAATAGAATTTATTCAGGAACGTTTAGAAATATTTTAAACATAGTCTGTTTTTTTTTTGAGAGAGAGCGAGAGAGAGTGATTTATTCGTGATCGCAATGCACTCTTGCGCTCATAATAATGAAAATGTCCTCACATCTTTGAAAATAGCAGAGAAAATACCGCGTTCACAATTCGGACAGATTGCAGTTGAATCCAGTTTTGTCATGACAGTTTCTTTTTCCATCAGTAAACCAAACCTAACATTTGCCAGAATACAATGATTTCTACATGGATTTAGGAGAATACAAAAAGTATGTGATAAAATGCATGATAAATTGCGAAGTGAATGTTTTCCTATAGTACGTGATTGTGTTCACAGCACCGATGTACTGTTCCTTGTAGCAATGTTTATAACGTAAAGGAAATCGATTATTTGAATGAATGATTGTATAATATTTATGATGTAAAATTCTGTTCGAAACAGAATGAAATGTTAGGTTGAAATTTTGTTTGTCGTTATTCATCGCTGTGTACGAGATTAGGTTTACGAAATGTGCAGATAGTCATTATTTTGTAGTGTGAAACGATAAAGGTTTTTATTCCATTGATATTTGTCATCGTTTATCGTTCGATTAAAAAAAAGCAGATGTCTACTTGAAATGTACTTTGAGTTGCCGATTTTTTTAACATTGTATTGAACAGAATTGCACAACGTTCTCACTTGCCAAGTCATTGCTAGGAGACGCAGCCCACAACCAATCATTTTAGTTGTCGTTACATTTTCGAGCAACTTCATACGAAGTTCATCATTACTTTCTCTGATATTAACAAATTATTTCATTCAGTTTCAAGGTTATTTTTATTGTGCCGATGAGTTTAGCGATTCCATATGGTTCAGTTACCACCGATTATTGAAAATTTAATAGAATTGTAAACTCAAATCTCAGTTGAATCCAACTGAATTAAAGTTTCGAGTGGAACAGAGATAAGGCAAAAAAAGCAATGCTGAACCTCGAATTTAAAACATCATTAATTTTGTTCGACCAACAATGAATCATTGGCTGTTATGCGTATTTCACAAACCAGTTTGAACGATGAAAATTTATGATTCATCGTACTCACGTTTATTCTCTGTGTGAATGTATTTATTGTCAAAAGTACAATCTTGAGTGATTGTGTGACAACGCAAATCACAGCTGTAAAACGTACATCTTGCTTGCCGTGAAATCGTTTTTTTTCCATTGTAATCAATAAAATTTTATATTTAAATATATGTATATACTTTCGCCTATGCGTCGTTTTGAAATTCTCATTTCAAGTGAATGACTTTAACATGTCCTCTTTGAGAACCATTTTTCAGCAATGGCGACTTCTGGGAACAACAGAAACTCCGAACTTCTTCCGTTCCCGTCCAAATACAAATGTGTTGATAAGCGCTATCGATTCAGTGAACGGTAAATTCTCGAAATTGGCCTTTATTCATATAAAATATGACACTGTTGATAAATGCTTTGTCATAATCAATGACAGTCGCAAAGAAATAGCCCTTTAGTTATATGATCGAAAGGGAGAAAAGATGAGGTTTTCAGCGGTTAAAGTAGGAATAAACGATCTGTCAATCGCACAGTATCACTTTAATGTCTTGGCCACGTCCGTCCTCAACGAATCCAAGTCGTTTGAGTGATGTTCTGAAGTTACACTGAGAATGTTCAAAGCTCCTAACAGAGGATTTTGTGAAAGGTTTTCAAATGAATGCGGAATGAAATGCTTCCGATGCATTTACCATGGAAATGAACATGCAGTTGCTTTCGTGAATGTTACGAGCAAATTTTATCGAGCACGAGTGTTCCTCTCCCTGCCTCACCTCTCTCTTCCCTAAGCGTGGCTGCTGATAAGCCGTTGCCTTGAAAATGTTGTTTTTAAGAAGCACTTTGAAATTTCCCTCTCTGCACCATGCTCATAACACAGTTTGGTGGTTTGCAGAGCGCAACAAGATTGTCTGAGTCTAGCTTATCCGCTGTCCGAGCCAGAATATGAGCGAGATTACAAAATAAGGAGAACACCAAAAGCCGAACCCTGGTCACCATCAACCGCTGAACGGCTTATCCAGGTATGTTCAAACGGGTTTTCTTCCGTCAAATCCGGAGTTGGATGCGCATTTTGCTAGGTCCCTCGCCGCGTCATTCTCCGCTCATCAGGCGGAATCCTCCACGAAAAATCGCTCCTGCTTTAGCAGCCCCGGTCTGAACATGTTGCAGTTCGTATCGACAAACGGTCATTAGTAATGATCAGCAATCAGAATCACATTTATATCTATTTAAAGTGTTTGTTGGACACTAAAATAGAAGCGAAATGTATTTGGAATATGCTAACTATCACTGTATTAATATAATTATTATGATCAAAATCAAAATGATAGCAACAGTCGTGTAAAGAAAGAATGATGAATAATGAAGAGGTAATTGTCAAAGGGTATTAATAAAAGATATAGGAAAGAAGCATTCACTTCCCGCAGGAATATTGAGCTTCGATAAGGTATTTCCTATCTTCATACTGTAGAAGGATGAGGCACACGTTTTGAGCCACTCGCTCCGGTTGAACACGAAGTCGTAGACGGAATTAGATGATAAGACATTTCAAACAAACGAGGCACAGTTGCGTTAGGAAAGGCATAAATAGAATAAATAAATACACGCTGCTTAATATTGATGATCTGATGATGAATATATGTTCGAGATCAGCAGATGAAATAAAATAGCTAATATCATCATTGACAGGTGAATGCTCCAGTGATTCAGAAATTGCTGTAACGATCCGTATTCGTCTCGTGGGCACAACTTGCTCACCTCTTGAATTCACTTCATCGCATCTCCATTCTCTTCTTAACTATTCATTCTTCACATAAATTTGCTCCATGAAGATGCTGAAGATTCTCTGCTTTCATCAATTTTTTCTTGTCAATCTATATTATTCGAAATTCCTTCAGAAAGCACTCCCAGACGTTGTGTTGCTGAATATATTCAAATACATGCATCCAGTCGACCTTGTCAATGGTGTTTCAAAAGTATCAAAACGATGGAATGCACTCGCCAAAACACCGTCACTCTATCGATACGTTCGCGTATTGGTCAATAAACAATCACCAAATTCCGAGAGCACCAGAAACTTTTTGCAGGGGGTCACTGTTTTCAATAATANTCATTATGATGTGTGAGAATGCTGCAAAATGACTTCTTCGAATGCACTACAAAATGATGATTTTTTTTCTGGTTGTATTGAAGACATTTCTTATCTTATTGATAACAATGACTGATTCATTCAAGCGTTCCTCACGTTCTGAGGTGGCATCTCGCGTTGATATGATTTCGGTATCATCATCGTAACTTTTTGATTGGTGAATTCCATTTGAATAAGAAGTTTTATTTTCAATGAATTCCGGAAAAATTGAGCCAATTTTTGACGTTTTTTCCAAAACACATCAGCATCGCATTTGCAGATTATGAGGGAAGATTTGAAATTAGCGATCAACGGAAAGGTATCGCTCCTTTTTCGTCAGCGGCACTTCTAGCGGATCAATTTCAGTGGAACAAAAGTATTTTTAGCGAACTTGCGATTAGCGGAGCCATTTTTCCCAGCAGCGTACCCATCACTGCCCATAGCGCAGTAAATTTGATTAGTGATAACCAAATTTTGAAACTGTCATTTACTGTGTAGGAAATTTTGTGTCGTACATATCATTATGCATAAAATGAAATGAATTTGAATTGAGATGTTGTTTTACTTTTCAGGCAAGGAAACATGTCAGAAAATTATGTGTAGTATATGAAAAGGATGTGTTTTTCGATGTATTCCCCGACTGCATGCCAAATGTCACGTTCCTCGATATTGCATATTTTCCAGGTGAATACATCTAATGAGCGTTGATAACGCACTTATTTACCTTATTGAAGTGCTTTCAGTGTGTGGTAAGCTTACTGTTGAAATGAATATGAGCTGCCACATTTCTTGGCGTTTCCGAAAAAAAGGGAAATTAATGAGAATCCATTTGGAGTGTAATGCTTTATGAATTGTTTATCACGTTCATCGCATGATCACAAATGATCTGAACCAAAAAAATTGTCGTTGTCATGAAGACGTTTCGTGCACGGTTTTTTCAGATTTGAATGGAAGCGCTGAAAAGTTGGTCGAATGTTTCCCTTCAGTTCAGGTACTCAAGATATCGGATGTTAGCAATGTGAGTGCTTTTGGTGGAAAATTTTGGAATTTTTTTCAACTGCGTATTGTATAAAGCGAATTCTCTCATGAGTGAACCGAACACGATAACAGTATTATTTTCACTTGTTGAAATGTTTGCAGTTGGACGACAGTCTGATCAAAAGATTATTTCCGAGTGACTCATTCAAAAACCTCCGTCAACTGGACTGCTCAAGTAGAGATGTGAAACCGGAAAATTTCTTTGGTCAGCTTTGTGAAACAGAAAGGCCGTTGCAATCGCTGCACACAACCACTACAGAAAAGTGAGTGATATTTTTGGTCATTGTCGTACTTTGTTAATATTCGAGTCACGATGAACATGATTATCATATCGGCATTATAATGCTTAACATCCAAGCAACCAACAGGAGCACTATTTGGTTGATAATTCATCGATACATGGGTGACCTATAATTGTGAAATCTACCCCCCCCCCTCCCCCCAACCCGTCACCAATATTATATTAGCAATGAAAATTTCTTTTCGCTGGTCACTGTGATTTTCCAAGTCGTTGCAGTCTATTCAGAATCTCACTTTGCATTCTCAAATGAGCAATTTCGTAGGACTGTCATGAACGTACCCGTTTAATAGTATCCGTAGACGCTGATAGCAGCAATTCCGTGCGAGTCAACAATCCATCATTCCATTAAGGGTCATCATTAAAGATAAATTTTCAGTTTGAGAGCAATGCTAACGTCGCCAATCCGAAATACTCTTACCGAGTTGTCCATATCGGAGTATCTAAAGGATTCATCATATGCTGCCATTGGGCAGCTGACGAATCTTAAAAAGTTGTCGATTTTTTCTTCACTCTATGGAACAGACGAACAACTTATGCAATTCAAAGTTAGTTCAGAAACTGATTGCTTGTGTGGGTGAATAGTGAAGGTTTGCTTAGAGCGATAATGATACCAGCTTATTGCATCGCACAGTTCATGAAATGGTTACTCACTAAACTAGACGTTATGCAGAATTTTTTGGTGATTGACTTGGGGTGCTGAGTTAAATTCACGTTGAAAGCGAATTGATGCGTTATTTGCTGTCAGATGCAGATGTAACGAAAATTATTGATCTCTTCAAAGTGTTTCGGAGTAGTTATTACTGCGTAATTTCAGACACTTTCTAAGTTGGAACACCTTCATTTGGACTGTTGTGGTGAGGATTGTGATTTCTCCTATGAAGGTGTCGCAGAGTTCTTCGAACTTCCTTCAGAGAATGCAGAAAATTATTTTCCCTATCGTCTCAAACATTTACTTTTCACTGATTGCCATCCATTCCATTTGGAAGCTGCCAACGCTCTCGTCAAGAGGTCATTTAATTCCCTTCAATTGCAGCGCTTCTGACCTCTACAGTGAGGATGCGTATTTGTTCGAAAATTCTTTCATTTTCGCCTCTAGTGGTCATTTCGTTTCATGCTTCATTGAGAAATGCTGTCGAAATTTCATCAGACACCTAAAAATCCCAAGTTTCGAGGCGGCTCGTATTCATTTGTGAGTAGGGCGATTTGTATTTTGCATCACCAATAAAGTTAACAATGCAACTCTTTAATCGCTAAGTCAATGATGAAGAACTGTGTGAAGAATGTGAAGGGGACGGATGATTTCCTGCACTAATTTCGCTGGGTGTCTGAAATGAACGAAAGCCTAGGAACAAGATTGTGATATATGCAATGACATATAGACACAATCTGGTATTGAGTTGTGATTACTCACTGAATGAACACTGAGAGGAAAAAAACTCACAGTCGATTAAATCCCAAGTGCGAAAATGTTGCGTTAGAAACAAATAAATATTGAATTATTTCAGCATTACATATTTCTAGTATTTTGTAGCAATAACCTTTCAGTTGTCCTCAGTTAATATCCCTCAATCTTAGTCGAAATTGCTATATGGGAGAAGAGGGGTTATCGGTTCTGGTGAAAAACTTGCGGTATGTCTTTGCAAACAACTTTTTCTTCGATTTTCAGTATGCTAAAGTGATTTTCGTTTTATTTTTGAGCAGCTAATAGGCTGATTGTTGTTAAACCTACTTATCGTTCTTATTTGAGCTATGATTCAGGAATCTTCGGTTTTTGGATCTGTCGTGGTTGGGAGAAATGCGATGTGATGCGTTACGTAATTTAACTAATGATGATATGCCTAAACTTCAATTTCTTGAACTACATCGCACGAAGGTAGGGAGGGATGAGCAGGAGTGCTTCTCTTCACCTATATCATTATGAAGTATTTATTTATCTAANNNAATTGTAGCCAGTTTATTCGACTTCAAGGGATAGTATTATCGAACAAGTCAACTAAGTATTAAATTCAACGATAATGCGGTAGGCCTGCAGCGTGTGAATGATCATAGAATGCGTATGCAATTGGGAATGAGTGATTCTTACTTTTAAAAGAAGTGATAGAAGCTTCATAACGCTGAGTTTCGCAGCCTAAAAACTAACACGCTAATGAAATGCACTTTGCAGATCAGTGAAAAGATTCTTTGGGCATTGAATTTGAAGCGACCGAATTTGATTATTTCGAATAAGACGGATTATTTCATCAATTGGAATGTTCAGAACGGAAATCCACGATTGAATAAAGTGTTCGGTGGTGATCTGAATTCTGTTCTGAACGATCTCGCAGAAGTTGATGGTTTTTGTTGTATGGGTGAAACTATGTGGTCAGATTACTATTAGTTTCACGTTTGACATAACTCGTTTAACCGAATGCATGCATTATTCGGCGAGTATTTCTTCATACAGCAATTTAATACCATTTCAATAATTATAATTTATTTCCAGTCATTTCCACCATCACTTATACGACGATAAATGATTTTGTACTGTTGGTCTGAATTGTTTCAACGGCGGAATCGTTAGCAAATCCGAATCAAAGTATCTGCCTCTGATCCTATAAACTGTAAAGTAATTTCAGTGCAATTTAAAAATGCGAATGAAATGAATTCATTTCTTAATGCAATCCTCACAGTCAGCAACGGACCTCATTTAGAGCAATAATAAGCGTGTTGGTGTTTTGGAGACAGCAGGAACGATAGAGATCGAGATTGCAAAGTGTCACTGATTTCGTACAAGGCTACTTTGAAATAGTTTTGGATTCATTAAATGGGTATATTTTTTCTGTGAAGAATGCAGATGATGTATTTTACTCAATCTATCGCGCGGTTGTCAAAAAATGTTCCATTTACAGTAGCTCACTTTTCATACTGATATTTTATTGCCCAAATACAATTGCAAAATGTGACAATTAATAGGTTTGTGTGGATAGTTGAGTATTATCTATGTAACTTCATTCAAACTCATCATTTCCTAGTTTTTGTAACTGTTTCAGCTTTCTTCGTTGCTTTGTTGTCAAGTCCATGTGTCAATTATCTCTTAAATAAAGCTGCAACATCTGCATCCACGAAATTTTTAGTTATATTTTTAGGTTGAACCCTCTGCAAATCGCTTTGTATGAATAATGAATAAACTGAGATATAGTGTTCAGTAACTGCTGGATTCCGGATAAATTAGGAAAATTTTAACGATGCAGTCTCGAGACAGTGATTGTCGGTATACTTTTTAAAATATACTGGTACCAGGTCGATGAATAAGTAGAGTGTGGATGTGAATGAAAGCAACTACTTCCAGCGCTATGCAAGGAAAACGAAATGGTGGCGGAGGAGAGGGGAGGGAGGTGGGATGGGTTAACGAACCTCCATTCACTTATGTGATTGTCATTTGTTGTACATATTCTAGATTGCAGGTCACTCGTGGATTTCTACGGATTTAACAATTCATTTATGCAATTGTGCAAGGAAATGACGCAGACTAAACTCCTTCCGTTTGCACCTAAATATCGATACAGCGATAAACGCTATCGATTCACAGATCGGTAATCTTATCGCTTCATTCTGTTGGTGTTTGTTGCTATCGCAAATCACCCCTCACATATGCCTCATTTTATTGAATCGGAATTCTCAGCTTCATTACGTGTAAAGAAGCGTACAATCATATTGAGTGACTTCTTAGTGGGAAGCATGGTTGTGAGCCTATGGGTTACCCAACGTTAGACTTGGGTGATGATGAACGTTCAGATGATTCAAGGCCAGCTGCATCTCAACTCACCAAGGTACACTCAAGTCAGTGGCATCCTTTCAGTGCTGATTGTTGCTTGTTCACTTCATTTTTATAACCTCATTTTGCCCGTGTATAAATAGAGACACGATGCATCATTTGAAGCACATTATCTGAGCAATTTTGATGTCCATATCAACTCTCGCTCTCCATCATTTCATCATGCATTTGCTGGTTTGCACGTCGTTTGAGAAGGATGCAACGAAAATACGATTGAATGACATGACATGCAATGAAGTGACGACGAATTCATGAAAAGACGCACATTTTATATTTTCGAAAAAAATTGTTATTGAGTGAAGCACTCATTCAATTAAACACACTGGTGGAAAAGGTTCCTCAAGAGACCTGTCAATTAGGCAATGGAAATAAATTCCCGGAAGGTTGTCGTTATTCGTAATGCTTGAAATTCCTTCAGAAGGCACTGCCGGACGTTGTGTTACTGAATATATTCAAATACATTCACCCAATCGACCTTGTCAATGGTATTTCAAGAGTATCGAAACGATGGAATGCACTCGCCAAAACACCGTCTCTCTATCGATTCGTTCGTGTATTGATCAATAAAAAATCAACAGATTCAGAGAGCGCGAAAAAGTTCTTGGAGCGGGTATGTTACCCTACCACTTTCGTTGGAGAATCGTTACGGATTGATTTTGAAATAGTGTTTGTATCACTAGTGAATTATTAATGAATGTCTGGAATGCAGACTAGTGATGGTTCGGTGCCTTTCTAGCATTTACGAGGTTTCCGAGGTCCCTTACCGAATCCCTTATCTATGCAGGCGCCAAACCTGATTCTGCCTTCGACTCTACCGTTTTTCAAACACTTAGCAGTGATGTCAATGAGAACTGACGGTCAAATATTTTAAAGATCATACAAATGCGAATGCATTTGTCCATCAATATTTTCAGTTAGCAATGTACTGAGCATGGATTCGCCAATTTTTGAGCTGAGTATGAATTTAGGTAAAAAATTTCATCAGAAAATTGTGTATGGTTTGCGAAATCAACGTCTTCGATGTATTTCCCGAATGTATGCCAAACGTCACATTTCTGGATATAACATCGTTCCCAGGTAGTTTCCCGTTCGTGCAGTTATCATATTACTCCTTCGTTATCAAAGCATGTTTCAGAGTTGTGTTCCCAATCGGAATTGCATCGCACCCTTCTATTACTAGTCATTTCAGATACGTCGAGATGCGCTGACAAATTGATGAGTTGTTTCCCATCTGTAGAAGAACTCATTCTGAGTGACATTAAAAATGTAAGTTTTTTCCTCCACTGAAATACACTATTGTGTTTCATTCGAATAACGTTTTTGCTTCATCTACTTGGAACTCAACGTTCTGTTTGTAAAAAGAAGTCGAGATCAGTAGTATATCGCAGTCAGATGCACCGAAACATGTCAAAATTTATGCTGCAACAGCGACATCTCATTTCAGAATCGCCACAAATACCCCAACTGAGTATATGCAAACAAATCATTATTGTTTATAATGAAACGAAGATTTCTTTTATTCTTGTTCATATTTATTCTATTCACCTCACGTTTACGACTACGATCTCTGTGGTACACAAGTGAAGTGATAATGTTAAGCGTATCTCCACAATCACTTACGATAACATTACAGTTTGATGAACATGCCCTCAGTGTTCTATTCTCAAAAAACGCATTTAAACGCCTGCGTCGTCTTCACTTCGCAAATTTTGAAGACGAAGCATACAAGGTCATCGAGAAGCTTTGTGAATGTGAAAGGCGGTTGCAATTCCTATCAATCACAAACACTGCCAAGTAATGTTCAATTATCGTTCTTCGAGGCAGAGTCCTTTAATAAGTGGCAGCAAAATTTGCGATAATACAGTCGAATTTCATCGGCTGAAGATTTCGTGGAGTTAATATCTCAATTAAGTAACAGTACTTTATTAAGTAACAGTACTACGATCATTAGGATCGTATTAATGATAGAACATTTGT